GGCTGGCATGGTGGGGGAGGGGAGCACGGGGCAGGGCTGGCATAGTGGGGGAGGGGAGCACGGGGCAGGGCTGGTATTGGGGGGGGGAAGGGGCTGTGATGGTAGTGGCTGTGGATAAGAAGGAGGAGCACTGGGAGGCTAGCATGGCACAGATGGGGTGGCAGGGCATGGAGAAGGAGCACTTGTGGGGAGGGATGGCATGGAGGGGCATTGGCTGAGCTGTAGGAAGCGGGAGGGAAGCAGCAGTGGAATTGCTGGAGCTGGAGAGCTGTTCAGAAGCATAATATCCAGAAATGTTCCTTCTCTGCTCTCCTTTGCTCTATGGTATGGGCTGATCCAAAATGCCTTTTCCCCTTCATTATACAGATGGCCCAGAGGCTCGTGCTGAGGAGGTTTCTATCCATCTCCCCCCAAAAGCTCTCTGTGCCACTTGTGTCGATCCTCTCCAAGGTGTCAGCAGCACCATGCTACCCTAGATCACTTGTCCCTCTTACCCAGATCACTGTACCTGCTTCCATTAGGACGTTTTCTACCACACCTGTCTGCAGGGCCACCTTTAACATCCAGGATGGGTCTGACTTCCAGGACAGAGTTGTGAACAGCCAAAAGCCGGTGGTGGTAGATTTTCATGCACAGTGAGTATTGCAGAGGTGGGCAAACTACAACCTGCAGGCCATATCCGGCCTGCGGGACCATCCTGCCCAGCCCCTGAGCTCCTGGCCCAGAAGGCTAGCCCCCGGCCCCTCCCCTGCTGTCCCCCCTCCCCTGCAGCCTCAGCTTGCTCTCTCCGCCACCGGGTGCAATGCTCTGGGCAGCGGGACTGTGAGCTCGTGGGGCAGCGCAGCTGCAGAGCCCGGCCTGACCTGGTGCTCTGAGCTGCGTGGTGGCAACGGCATGGCCCAGCTCCAGCGCTGCCAGCCACCGGTGCTCCAGGCAGCACAATAAGGGAGCAGGGAGCGGGGGGGGGAAGGTTGGATAGAGGGCACGGGAGTTTGGGGTGGTGGTCAGGGGCTGGGGATGTGGATAGGGGGCGGGGTGGTCGGGGGCGGAACGGGGGGTTGAATGGGGCAGGGGTCCCGGGACGGGGCAGTCAGGAAGGAGGGGGAGTTGGATGGGGTGGCAGGGGGCAGTCAAGGGCAGGGGTTCCAGGGGCAGTCAGGGGACAGGGAGAAGGGGTGGTTGGATGGGGCAGGGATCCCAGGGAGGGCCATCAGGAATGAGAGGGGAGGGGTTGGACCTGGCCTCATATAGAACTACACTTACTCAAGTTTGCCGGTTTAGCTATACCGGCAAACCCTCTTAGTGGAGAGACAGCTCCTATCTCCACAAAAGCACTTTTGTCAGTATAGTTCATACCAGTTCCTAGAACAGAATAAGCCTTGCCAGCAAAAGGTTATGTGTGCCCCTCATTTTCCTCCCCCAGCTCTCTGTTCCCATTTCCCTACATGGCAGACACTCTGTGTGGCCCCTTTTCTCCATTTTCCCCCATTCTTCCCTCCACCCATTCCAAAGCATTCCACAGCCTCCCCCTCAGCAGGGGTTTTGTGTGCCCCCCCATCACTCTCTTATCTATCCTGCAGTATCCCATTCTCCCCCCGTGGCAAGAATTCTATGTGGACCCTCATTACCCCATGGCCCCTATTCCCACCTTCCCTCCCAAACTAGGAGCTCTCTGTGTCTCCCTTTCTCCCTCCCCACATACCAGGGTCCCCCACTTTCCTCCCCCACCATGTCAGAGGCTGTGTGCACAGCCCTATTTCCTCACCGTTATTTTTCTTTCTGGGAGAGAAGTCATTCAGGATATCAATGTGTTAAATTCTATTGGGAGAATGAGCAGAGATGAGACAGGATATGTTATGCTGGAAGACATTAATGGCTACCATCAACCAGTTCTTTTGAGCTGTAGATAATTGCAGAAGTGGTTGTGACTGGGCTAAAGAGCTGGCAGGGCTTCATGTGTCCCCCACATTGCCCCTTCTGATTTCTTTATTTATTTTTACCACAAAATCAATAGGGTTCTGGCCATTGATGTTTAGAACGTTCCCTGGAGTTTTGGAATTGATCAAATGCAGCGTTCAGAAGCTATTGCGTGACACAGAACTAAACTTTGTCTACGCTTAAAAGTTATATCAGCATAGCTGCATTGCTCATGGGAGTGGAAAAGCCACACCCCTGACTGACGCACCTAAGCTGACAGAACCTCCAGTGTAAAAGCAGCTACATTGAAGGAAGAGTTTCTCTGTTAACATGGGTATTGTCATTCAGGGAGGTTGTGTTCCTACACCACCAGAAAATCTTCTGTCATGTAGGCTGCCTCTGCACTAGGGATTGTGCTGGCATCGGCTCTGTAGTGCAGACATAGCGAAATACTCTTGAGTTTAGTATAAGGTTTTAGCAAGTTTGGTCAACAATACAGAATGCTATACAAAACGTAACGCTTAGGGTATTTCACTGAGATGTTAACATAGATTGTGTAATTGTCATGGATCCATGGGATCTGTGCTATGCCCCAGCTTTAAACGATCCCTTGCAGCCAGAGATGACATATACCAGCTGATTGGGGTGGGGGACACAGTTTAAAGGTTTGGCTGCCCCAGAACAGCTTGAGTCATGGCACCCCACCAGGCAGGTGTCCTCCCTCCCTCCCCCCCAACCTCAGCGGCCCCTCCCTGCAGCTCGCAGCTGTTGCTCCTGCCTCTCCCCACAGGGCTCAGCTCACTGGCCCCCCCCAGCAGCTGCCTGACAGGGAGGGGGTCCAGCCATCCCATGTGACGGAGCAGGGCTAGCAACCCCTGGCAGAAATATGGGGAGGCACATGATCCTGCATTGTTCCCCCCCCCCCGCCCCTCCCCACCACCACCACACGCACACACAGGAACCTTGTCAGTGTGCCAGATCCCTAAGGGGGCCCATTCTTCCTTAAAGGTCGGCCACACAGCTTCAGCGTCTCCAAAACTGAGTGTCTGGGCTCTTGAGCTCTACTCAGCAAGTCCAACTTAGATAACTCCTTATCAGAGACATTTCCTGTCTTCCAGGACCAGTGCACCTCAGCAAGTATTTGCAGTGACACCGAACAGAGTAGGGTTTATTAGTCAAATGTAACACAGCACTGGAAAGTCCTTAAATTAGCATAGAGAATTAAAGGTTAAGACATAATCCATACTGGCCAAGCCAGTGCAATCAGCCAGCAAAGCGGCCGTGGAATCCGTTTCCGCTCTCTCCATGTTTTTCTCTTTGTCTGTCAGTCCCATGTCTCTTCAAAGACCAGCTTGTATCTTAGCATCTTCTCATCTCTTGGTCCATTGTCTTCCTCTTGCTGAGTTCACATGTTCCACCTGCCGGAGTTTTGTGTGGAGTTCTCTGTGGATCACTGTCAATTGTTCAGTTGTTGAGATTCCCATAGTCTTTCTGGATCCTCCAATGATATGGGTCAGTCCCTTCAAGGACCCATTCATACTGCCCCAGACAGTTAGGTGACCCAGCACCTCATATCTCCTGCTCTACACCTATAGGGTGGCAATCCCTAGTCAAGTAAGTCACTGCCATGCATATCATTCATAAGAATATTACAGAAGATTCCCACTTCATCACAGTAACAGAATGAACAAGCATAACAACCCCGGTCTTAGTAAGCCTTTTATTTACTTAATATTATTTTGGCTTCCACCTTTTTCAGCCCACAGTCTTACAGTGACAAACACCAGAATCTATTTTATTGCTACATTTTACCGCCCTACAGTTCAGCTCTCTCTCCCATTATGGCTCATGAGGTTCTCTCCTTACTGTGACATAAGGATACTTGCTAGCATTAAATGTGCTGCACAAACTCGTTATGTTTTCTTTATTGACATTTAGGCCCAAACAGACAACTAAAACAAATTGCTGCATGAAAGCTGTGTATTACAAATGATCTGTGTCCTCCAAATTAATCTCCATGCAATTTTTAAATCATTCCCAAATACTCCTCTTGTTACCTTCATGTTTTCTTTAGCAGCTACTAGTTCCCGGGTGACCCGAAGTAGTTGCTGAGAAGTTCATAGCTTCATCTATAATCAAATTAGATAATGTCTGTCCCATTTTTTTTTGAACGCTGTTTACACTGGGGAAAGACTTTCACCAGCAATGAGTTGTTTGCAAAAGCCTTTGCAAATACCCTCAGCAGTTGGCGTTGATAAAGATTTTTGCCATTAACTAACAACGAAAATATTCCAAGATTTTATCTGCTAAATTATAATAATAGTAATTTTCTGTCTCATTTGTATCTGGTGGCACCTAGTGCCCCCAAGCAACATAAAGGCCCCCTTTGTGCTTGGTTCTGTACAAATACAGAGCATAGAGTCTGGAAAACTCTCAATCTAAATGGACAAGAGCAACAAACTGAAATAGAAACTAATGATGACTGGGGCCATGAGAAGGAGGATCAACTTGTATGTCTGCAGGTAGAGAAACCAAGAGCTATTGGGAGTAGCATAGGGAGCAAAACCAGCTCTGGTTTCAATCTAAAACATGATGTAAGGGTTTGGGAATTTTATTCTTCTTTTCTTTGTAAGGATAGGTGGGGTTGAGATCAATGTAAGTGGGGCAGTATTACTTCAAGTGCAGTTAGAGGAAGAACTCAGCACTTTGACTAGCACCAATGCCTTCCATTCAAACTCTTCCTAATACCAGAGTTTGGTACAGGTAGTCTCTGTTATTGTTTTTTTTCTTTTTTAAATAGATACAGCCTCTCCGTGACAGTGATTTTGCTGTGGAAGAGAGCCCTTAGGTAAACACAGCAATCACTTTGGAGACTGAGGTGTTTCAAGAGTAATGGGCTAACACTGAATAGCAGCCTCTTCCCACCCTCCCCTGATTTAATAATGCCTTTCTTATGGAAGCCTCTCTCTAAACTGTGTTGCAATCCAGGCTTGGTCTATGCTTAAAAGTTCTGTTGGCATAGCTGCGTTAGTCAAGGGTATCAAAAACCCACACCTCTGACTGGCATAGCTTTGCTGACAAAATCCCCAGTGTAGATGCATCTATGTCAACAGAAGCGGGCTTTTGTTGGCATAGCTGATGTCATTCAGGGAGGTGGTGGTCCTACACCGGGAGAAAAACTCCTCTTCTCAGGCCTGGTCTACACTTGACACTTAGGTTGACCTAGCTACATCATTCAGGGCTGTGAAAACTGTCACCCTTGTGCAGCATAGTTAAGTCGACCTAACCCCCACTGTAAGACACGGCTAGTTTGATGGAAGAATTCGTCCATCGACCTAGCTACTGCCTCTGAAAGATGGATTATCTACGTTGGCAGAAAACCCTCTTCTGTCCATGTTGGAAGCATCTATGCTACAGCAGCAACACTATACCTGTGCCGCTGTAGTGTAGACATACCCTCAGTGTAGGCTGTGTCTATGCTAAGGGGCTATGCCAGCATAGGCTCCATAGTGTAGACAGTCTCAGAATCTGTGTTACTTTCGGACTGTGATTCTGAGTCTAACAATTGCAAAAGTGGTTGGTTAATGTTCACCCTTGGTGTTTAAATTGTGGTAATTTCCCATAGTGTAAAGGTCAGTGTAGGGAGGAGGGGTTAGGTGGTGATCAGGTTGCCTCTGAAATACCATGAATGGTGTGAATCTAAACTATGGCTGCCCGGCAGTTCCTTGTGTAACGCCTGCTTTTTTTCTCCCCTGTGAGGTGGTGCGGCCCCTGCAAGATCTTGGGCCCCAGGTTAGAGAAGATGGTGGCCAAGCAGCAGGGGAAGGTACTGATGGCGAAAGTGGACATTGATGATCACACAGACCTGGCCATTGAATATGAGGTATGAGCCAGGAGCAGGAGGACTCTGCTCCAGCGGTGGCTAGGAGGGGGCACGAGGGTATCTTTATAATAAGGAAAGGCTTGTCAGTAGGGCTGTCAATGAATCACAGTTACCTCACGCGATTAACTCAAAAAAATTAATCGTGATTAAAAAAATGAATCACAGGTTTAATCGCACTATTAAACAATAGAATACCAATTGAAATTTATTAAATATTTTGGATTTTTTTCTATATTTTCCTATATATTGTAGTCTGTTATAGTTGAAATCAAGGTGTATATTATTTTTGATTACCAATATTTCCACTGTAAAAATGATAAAAGAAATAGTATTTTTCAATTCACCTTATACAAGTACTGTAGTGCAATCTCTTTGTCGTGAAAGTGCAGCTTACAAATGTAGATTTTTTTTTTTTGGTTACATAACTGCACTAAAAAACAAAAAATGTAAAATTTCAGAGCCTACAAGTCCATTCCGTTCTACTTCTTGTTCAGCCAATCGCTAAGACAAACTTTTGTAGCCAGCATTGCAAGGTATTTATGTGCCAGATATGCTAAACGTTCATATTCCCCTTCATGTTTCGGCCACCATTCCAGAGGACACACTTCCATGCTGATGATTCTCGTTTAAAAAAAATAATGCATTAATTAAATTTGTAACTGAACTCCTTGAGGGAGAATTGTATGTCCCCTGCTATGTTTTACCAGCATTCTGCCATATATTTCATGTTCTAGCAGTCTCGGATGGTGACCCAGCACATGTTGTTCATTTTGAGAATACTTTCACTGCAGATTTGACAAAACGCAAAAAAAGTACCAATGCAAGATTTCTAAAGATAGCTACAGCACTCGACCCAAGGTTTAAGAATCTGAAGTGCCTTCCAAATCTGAGAGGGACGAGGTGTGGAGCATGTTTTCAGAAATCTTAAAAGAGCAACACTCTGATGTGGAAACTACAGAACCCAAACAACCAAAAAAGAAAACCAACCTTCTGCTGGTGGCATATGATTCAGATAATGAAAATGAGCATGTGTCAGTCTGCACTGCTTTGGATTGTTATCGAACAGAACCCGTCATCAGCATGGACGTGTGTCCCCTGGAATTGGTGGTTGAAGCATTAAGGGACATATGAAGCTTTAGCGCATCTGGCACATAAATATCTTGAGACACCAGCTACAACAGCCCCATGAGAACGCCTGTTCTCACTTTCAGGTGATATTGTAAACAAGAGGCAAGCAGCAGTATCTCCTGCAAATGTAAACAAACTTGTTTGAGCGATTGGCTGAAAAAGAAGTAGGACTGAGTGGATTTGCAGGCTCTAAAATTTTACATTGTTTTATTTTCTAATGCAGTTTTTTTGTATATAATTCTACATTTGTAAGTTCAACTTTCATGATAGAGAATGCACTACAGTATTTGTGTAAGGTGAATTGAAAAATACTATCTTTTATTTTTTTCAGTGCAAATACTTGTAATGAAAAATAAATACAAAGTGAGCACTGTACACTTTGTATTCTGTGTTGTAGGGACCTGGTGTCTCCCCAGTACCTAGTGGACAAAGAACACTGCTGCTGTATTCTACAATAAGACCCTGCAGCAAAAGGATTAATATTCACTCTCCCTTGGGAGAGGAGAGCTGTGCTCCTTCCCCTTAGGGATTAACGCAGGGGCGGGCAAACTTTTTGGCCTGAGGGCCGCATTGGGTTTTGTAAATTGTATGGAGAGCCGGTTAGGGTAGGGGGGTCATGGCCCGGGCCCCACCTCCTATCTGCCCACCCCCCAGGACTCCTGCTGCATCCAACCCTGACGGCCCCTGGGAGAGGTTGTGATTGCTTAAACAGTGCAATGAAGTATTTGAAGCCAAGAGATGTACACCAGGCACTGGGTAAGGATTGTTCTGTCCACAGATAAGAGATTAGGGATCAAATAGGTTAATCATTATTGTTCCAAGCCTTGCTATGGTAACTGGTAGCACTTCTGCTACAATTATAGCAGAGCAATCCCAGGCAACTGGAAAACCAGTATTTAAAGGCACTAGGAAAAAGGCTGAAAATTACAGCCCTGTAAGTGTTGTTCCTCTAAGGGAAGTTTGAGGGATGAGAATTGTTCAGTTTAATGGGGATTTGGCCCAGGGAAATCTTGTCAAACAAACTGGATAACTGAAATGATCATTTTAGATTCACAAATAACCCTGTCGGGGAGGATGTAAGTATTCATGCTGTAGTCAAGGGCTGGATTATAGGGCCTCTTCCTGAGCCTTAAATGTAGACACAGGCAAACTCTGTTAAATTCCCATTCTGCAGAAAGTGCTGGGGATCCTGGGTCCCTGGTGGACCTCATAGACTCATAGACATTAAGGTCAGAAGGGACCAGTATGATCGTTTAGTCTGACCTCCCGCATGATGCAGGCCACAAAAGCTGACCCACCCCCTTTCCCTTGACTCAGCTGTTGAAGTCCCCAAATCCTGTGATTTAAGGACTTAAAGTCGCAGAGAATCCTCCAGTTAGCGACCCCCGCCCCACCTGCACCCTGTGCTGTCCAGATGATACACCTCTACTTTTGTTAGTGCTTCAGACTCCTCGCTGGGCAGCAGTGGGACCATGGTGAAATGGAAATGCTACAGGGAGTTTTGTTCTGATCCTTACAGTTTCTGGCTTGCTTTTTTGAGGAGGACATTTGGTTCTTGGTTTGTGCTGTCCTGAGCTCAGGGTTAGAGTAGCTTCGTTTTGCTCCTCCCTCTGAAGAGTTGCTAGCCAAGGCAGTGAGAGTGCAAAAGCTGGAGGGGATGGCCAGAGTGGCTCCATGCTGTTGTAGGTCCGCACAAAAGAAGAGGAGGCTATGGTGTTTAGAGTAGGGGGTCAGAAATCCACCTACACTGGAGCAGGAAATCTGAACTACCCTGCTAGCAGCATCCTCTTCTAGCAACAGGAACCGAGGGCCCTTCCACCTGGGATCCAGGACTCTCAAATTGTTCTCTGCTTGTGTCCTGGGATTTTCAAGGCCCTTTTCTCACTCCCGCAATTCCCCTGCTAGCTGCCAGGAAACCAGTTTCCTCCCACGTTTCTCCCTCCCCTCCACACGCAGACCCTGGCCGGCTGCCCAGCCTGAGATTGCACAACTTCCTCTCTGCGGTGGATTCTGGGGGGGCGGGGGATGGAGAGAGACCCCCTCGGAGAGCTTTGGAATGCCTGAGCATTCCTTCACATGGGTCTCTGCCTGCCCTTGGCTCCAGGCTGTCCCAGCAGAGGACATGTCCCAGAAGCATTTCCTGCTGCTAGAAACCTTGCAGATCCAGTTCTGCACAAGACAAGAATTCGTTCTCCTACAATTCTCAGTCCCTTCTCATCCAACACCCACTTTTCAGGAGGTCTCCCCCCACTGTCACTTCCCTTCTTAACCACAAGGGCAAAGAGAGGGGAGTACTTTGGCTTTGTTCTGCTCTGTGTGGGATTCTCTCACTTTCAGTTGCATTGGCTTGTTGCCAGCATGCATTTTAATCCTATCTGGGAAAGTGCAGTCCCTTCTCCCATGCTGCTGCTGGTCAATGCATAGACTGGCTGGTGTGGTAGTTTTGGAAAGATAGCAGTGGGATTCCTTTGGCTGGAGATATCTCAGCAGTAGTAGCTTGTTCCTTTCTGGAGTTCCCTGCATTGTTCCTAAACTTACTGGTGAAATCCTCACCTCTTCTCTGGCCTCTCTATGCTGCATAAAAGTACTGGAGTGGCATAAATGGGCCCTAACAGGCCTGGTTCTGTCTGCAGGAGATTTCTGCTGGTGCAGGCAGTGCAGAACCCGAGGTGTTCCTGACAAACCCTGGCATGGGGCTGCCCATAGGACATCCTGGGATGCTGTGGCAAGTTAGACAGTCCCATGGGACTTTTTTAAGCTATGCTGGGGGCCACTCCGCCCCCCTGGAGCAGTTCAGCATCTGGAAGCACAGAGTAACTGAAAGCCACTATAGCTGTCCCCTTCCTCCGCGTGCGCCTGTGTGTGGGGGGGAGGAGATGGAGGGCTGAGCCACAGGTGCACGTGAGGTTCATGCTGGCCCACGCACACAGGCTTGTAACTCAGCATTAAGTGAATGCTCCTCAGCTCTGGAGGCTGCTGCTGTTCCGCACTTGGACCAGTGCTTGCTTTCATCATGTGACCTTTAAAGCAAATGGTTTGTTACCCAAACTCCTCTATAAAATAGCCTCACGTGTAACTCCACTTGCTGTTTAATCTACATTCGAGGCATGGGGAAGATATCCCTGAAAAATAACAACCATGTTGCCCCAGGAGGACATAATTAAGGCGAGCTCAGTGCTTCCTCGTTATATCCCTTCTTCCTGAAAAAGAGAAAAATTCACACACAGGCACATCAGCTGCACCATATGTGCAGTGAGCAGCTTTCCAGGGCTACACTGCACTTCTGCAACTAGTCACTAGGGGGTGCTAAAGAACACAGATTAAACAGGCATTGGGCAAGTGGCAGGAGGAGCCCCAGTGCCTGAATTATCTAAAACTGGTCTGTATAAAGCCCTGGAGGATATTCGTAGGGAACAGTTCTGGATGGGCGAGGGGGAGGGACAGGGCGAACAAAACCTCTTTCATGTCAAACTGCTGGTGAGAGAGGAGCCATATCTCTAAGGGATTTCCTGTGGGGAGGATTTGTGTGGGTGGCAGATTCCTGATGGCCGCAAGAGACAGTGCAGCTGGGAATGTACTCGCTGAGTGGATGCATTCCCAGGATGCATTCCTACAAGATAAGGATGGGACACGTTCCAGGAGATAAGCGCTATACAGATAAGGGCCATGAAGTAGCAGGAGGCATGTGCCTGGCTGTTCTAAAATACTACCAAATTCTTTCCCTTGCCATTCCATGCTGGTCTGAGTCTCGTTACGCCTTCCCCAAAAGATGGCCACAAGGTTTCGTCATCTTCGCCCCCCCCGCCCACCGAGTCCCCCGGGGAGTTTGCTTTGATCCTGAGTGCCATCCTTTGCACTGTTACTTCCTTAGTTTTGAACAAAGCTTGCGGGGGATCGGCTGAGAGAGTAACACCCAAAGCACTGTAGCTGGCTGCCAGCTCAGTTTGAGGGCTTTCCTTCCCCTACCTAATCATCAAGGTTCAGCAGGTGGTGGTCTCTGACTGTGCTGTCAGTGAAGCCATGACCTGTGAGAACAGGGAGAAGCAAAGAGATGGATTTGGGGGAAGAGGGATGGACAGTCTAGAGCTAACACAAGAATATTTCTCCAAGAGTGGAGGAGGAGCAGGGCAGTCGCCCCGGGCCCCATGCCACAGGGTGCCCCACAAAGCTAAGCTGCTCAGACTTCTGCTTCAGCCCCAAGTGACAAGCTCAGGTCCCTGGGCTTCAGCCCTGCACAGCAGGGTTTAGGCTTTCTGCCCTGGGCCCCAGTGAGTCTAATACTGGTTCTGCTTGGTGGACCCCCTGAAACCTGTTTGCAAACCCCCCCCCCGATGGCCCCGGACCCCTGATTGAGAACCACTGTTCTAGACCAGAGAGGCCCTGAATTTCTAATGTCAAAAGCAAGCAGGAAAAATAAAACCCTGAAAACTTTTCAGTCCTTTATGAATTATACAGAAGGGCCCAAGCCTTTTCTTTGTTCTTTTTTTTTTTTTTTTTTTGCTTTGCAGGTCATCCTTCAAAGCCATTGTGCAGCTGGGCTCCTCCCAGCATAGCTTATTGTGTGTCTGTTTGCGCCCTCTCTGCCTTCCAGGTCTCAGCTGTGCCGACTGTGCTGGCTATGAAGAACGGAGATGTTGTGGATAAGTTTGTGGGGATAAAGGATGAGGATCAGCTGGAGGCCTTCCTTAAGAAACTCATTGGAGCCTGAACAAGAGAAACCTGCACCCAGGCCTCTGGATTTGGTCATGTTGCATGCTCTCTTGCCAGGAGAGGCATGAAGCAAAACTGAACTGCCTTGTAGAACCTGTGCCCTTTTTTGTGTGTGGGTGTGGCCCACCTTCTTCTCTTGGGCAGCAGTAGTCCTGAGCAATTCTGAGGGTGGGAGAAGCTGGAATTGGGCTTCCATCTGTCTGCAAAGAACTGGCAGTGGGGAAAGCAGGATGACTGCTGAATTAGAGGTGTGTTTATCAGTGTCTGTCCTATCCAGTCCCAGAGCAATGGGTGGTTACTCTCTGCAGGATGTGGACACATATTTGCTCTGAGTGGGTTTGTTAAAATCGGGGATTGCTCTGCTTCATCCATGATACCTGCATCCTTGTCCTCCTGTTGCTGGGACAAGTCTGAATCCTCTGTGGCTCCTTGAGCCTATGCCACACTCTCCCCTGCTGCTGATTTATGAAGAGAAACATTTTTTTGTTTTTTGGGGGGGTGGGGAGGGGGGGTTGTAGGTCTGTAATAAAGATAACTTTATTAATCACTTCTGTGTTTTTCTGTAGAAAAAACCCATCTCTGAAATCGTGGGGCAACTCTCACCTGCCCACCAAGGAGGGAGGAATCGTAAGGGGTGCTGCTACTGTGATAGCTGAGCATAGACAAGGGGGCTCCCCAGGTGGAAACAGTGGGGCAGGAGTGCAAGGTGGGATTTAAGAATGTTGGGAGTGTCTCATCAGTATTAAAACTTAATGCACTTGCTTGTTTTAATACCATTATTTCTGTGCAGCTCCCAGCACAGCTCCTCTGGCTTATGGACTAGTCGGACTTGTTTCAGGTGCTGCTGGATTCTGAGACCCAGAAAGTTGATACATCTCCTGATTGAGGAGGAACATTGGATCCTGCCAGTAATGAACCACAGCTTGTTCTCACCCCTCCTCTACTCCCCTTCTCATGAGCAATCTGTGAGAGCTTCCACTCCTGTTTGCATAATTGAAGCTGTTCTTACCACTGAACTCTGGTTCAAGAGGCTGCAGGGATTAGGTGCTGAGAAAAAGGTTGGCGATGTGGAGGGAAGCTATGAGGGGTCTCTACCTTTGGACTTTAACTAGCCTGGCCTTTAAATGATGGTAGTGAGTTTATACATTCATAACTCTAGTGGAGTGCAGTTCCTCCCAGCTGCCTCTCCCCACCCTGCCTGCCCTTTCTGCTTGTTCCTTACATCTGCCTCCATCCTACCTGCTTAGCAGCAGCTGCTGCCACCTTCCCTAACCTCTCCCCTCAACTACTCCCATCCAACGCGCCTTGGAACAACTGCACATTAGTGTTCTCAGGGTGAAACCCATTGCCGCAGCCTGGCTTTTCCTTTATATCAGACAGGCTTAATTTCAGTGCATTTATGCCATGCCCCTCAGAATACTATCAATATTTAATGCCTTTATATGCGTTTTGTTTCTGTTTGTCTTCAGTCTCCCTTACTCTGCCTTGGCTCTGAACTCCATCTTCTCCCAGCACACTTATGTTATTACAGCCGGATAAGGCATTTTCCTCCAGTTGTGTCATTACAGTTTATAACCAGCAGTAAATTTTAAGGAGGGGTGATCAAAGTCTGTAGGTGCTGGGCTGTAGCCACAATACTGCTGGCAGTCTTGTTCTTATCTCAAAGCTGGGCAACGCTGGCTGATCCACCATAGGAAGTGATACCAGTGGCCCAGTAGGGGGCACTCTTTGCTTTGGGCCAATGCTGAAGTAATGCTCTGCTGTGTTGCTCTATAGCTCTGCTGCTGGATCTGACATCTTTTGAAGGAGATTTAAAACCATTCTTAACCAATTATGCTCATTAAAGAGCCCCTGCCAACTTTTTGAAATGGAAGGGTTTTCATCCTGGTAATAGTGCCATGTCTCCTTAGATTCCCCTAGCAATTCACTACAGTATTTTCACTTCTAGTAAAGACTGTCCATTTGCCAGCATATGCAGGAAAAATGGGGGAGCAACATCATATGTTCCTACAATAGTTAACTTTCATGCCTTACCATCACCCTGGAACAGGAAAAAACAGACTTGAACAAAGTGTGACTTTGCATTGTGTGTATAGGAGACGGTATAAATTAGCTATTTTATCGCTTCCTTCCAAGGGAAAAGTCTAGCTTGGGGTTTCTGTGGTATTCCAGTATCAAAGCACAGAGTTACTGGCAAACTTTAAGATGGGGGTATATGTACAATTGCTTCTGTAACATGAATGCTGAGTACCCAAGTATTTGATGTGCTCAGAGATTTCCCTCTTTAGCCATCCCTAAGAAACACCACTTTCAGTGGCGGGAAGAGGGTAGCGTTTTATGTGCATCTCATTCCCCATTTGGAGTCCCAAAATGCCTGGGCACACCTCTGACACGGTAGAAAAATAATGAAAGGGACAGAGAAGTGCAAAGATGTTTTAGGCAGCAGGGCCTGACCCCAAAGGTATTTAACTTCCATTGACATTGATGCAAGTTAGGAGCCTAAATACCTTTGAAGATCTGGGTCTAGGACTTTAATTTTAATCCCTTTTTTATTGTCTCTGTTACGTGCTAATAATAATCTCCCTACATCGGTGTCAGCAGGAAGGTTTGCACATGGTCTGATTCAGGGTGTTCTATGGCAGTTTTCACACACACTAAACATGATGGTCTGTTGCAATGGGGCTAATGCAAAAGGCTGTTCCACAGCACAAACAGCTTTCGCCATATCAGTGGTTCAGATGCTTCCCTTTGTTTCTATTGCGGCAGGGCTGCTGTGTTCTTCACTTCTGGTTTTGAAACATGCCGGGTGTTGCTCTGTTCTCTTAAACCTTTGCTTTGCTCTGTCTTACCAGTGGCTGCACCACAGTCGTGTGTGTATGTACTATAACTATACAGATATATTTAAAATACAGGAGTCATGGACTTTAAATTAAACCCTACATGAGTGTCTCTCTTTACATAAAATGTTTCTGTCCTTCCCTTCTTTAAACGTTGTCCCCTGGTCATCTTCCACCCCCTCTGGGCTCGGTGGGAGGTTGCAGGACAGGGAGATGTTTATCCTCTCAGCATTCCTGCCACCTAGTAATAACACTTAGTACGTTGTGGTTACAAAGCAAAGGCTGAACAGAAGAGACCAACGCCATTTGCAAAACTCTGTGCGATCTGTCCTGTGATGTAGGTAAATAAATATTATCCCCATTTTACAGATTGGAAAACAGCTACTATTTGGCCAGGACCTCAGCCTTTTACTAACCTGTCCTGGAAATTACCGTTCTAGCCTGTGGCCTGGGGCCACCTGAAAGCTCACCTGCAGTTATGGTGTCCTGCCACAAGGAGCTGCTGTGTCTGGGAGTGTGGCTCATTTCCCCCACATCTGCTGCTCCCTTGTGAGGTCAGAGGAGATAAATCAGAGTAGTAAGCAGTTGCCTCTGTCTTGTCATTCAATGCAGCTTCAGCAGTCAGGGTCATGGGAGCCAGGGGGACCCAATGGGATAGGAGGAGGGAAAGGCAGGTAGAATGGCAACACCAAAGAGGAAAGCCTCCAGCCCTCCCCTACAGCTAGAGGAAATGAATGGTGGAAACGTGAGGCCTCCAGGAGGGGAGACAAGCCTCAGAATGTGCTTCTCCCCCCGCCCACATCCACATCCACACACACACACCCCCAGAGAGCAAGAGTGCTGGGGAGGCTGCATGCATCCCTCCATCTCACCTCGTTCTTGGGAAGAAATGCCCTTTAAGGATGCTGGGGAGGGAGCCAGGCCTGCCGTCCTTCCAGGGAGATGCTGGAGTAAGGGAATAACACTAGCAGCCCACTGGGCAGCTGCTTCCTATCTTCAGGTAGGAGGGAGTTTGGGAATTTGTCACGGGGGATTGTGGTGCTGCTCCTACAGCTTCAGATGAACATGTCAATTTCTAACTACTGAGCCAAACCTGAGACCCTGATGATTAAGATATTTGTCATAAAACTAAATTAACATGCATTAGTCTCTGCCCACAACCCTCTGGCAGCTCATGACCCTCTGCTTTTATGGAGGAGTGTCCCTGGAGCTCTCTTTTAAACATTGGTGACTATGGGGAAGCGCACAGCCATTTCTACCAGTGCGTAGAGCAGCTGCAGTTGATGGGAAAAGAAGAGGTGACCCCATCCTATTTGCCTCCTTTCTTGTGGGAAGATCCATCTCCTGCTAGCTCGTCTTCTGTGGGAGAACCGTACTCCCCTCCGGTACACCAGCTACGTCTCCCCCAGGGAGAAGGACAGAGAAGGAATACATCAAACAAGGTTTTTGCATAAAATTTTTTTTTTTAAATCAACTTAACATTGTCTAAAATGCATCAGCACTTTCCAGGGACAATGCCCCCAGACTTCCTAGGCTTGTTTATGTTACATCAACACAGATTCTCTATCCTGCTGGACACAGAGATTGGAAAACTACTGATGTTCCCAAACCAGTTCTGCACAAGGAGCACAGCCTGATGGGGCCTCCTGGGGGGAGGGGGAGGGCAGGAACTTCTTTTGGCTACATTTGTTCTCTTTCCCACTGCTGCTTCAACACTTAACACCCAGACCTGTGGTGACAAGAAAGTGGGTAAGCTCCCACTCTGGCTTTGATCAGCTTTAACCACTGGTTCAGAGCGCATGGCCCTGCACAGATAACTGGCTCCACAGTCCTGGCTAACAGGGCAGAGTCACTGTTCTTGGAGTGTTATACGGCGCACATGCTGGAGCGTATTTTCTAATGTTTATATAACTGTTGTTTCTTTTATCTGAATTTTTAAGCAAATTGCCAGAGCCCTTTCTGCTCATTAGGGCCGCTTCTTATGCCAAGTTTAATCTTTCAAAGTTTAGCCAGTGTTGAGTGATGCTGGAAAAGAAACAGCTGTAACAGTCCAACATTTTGTTTTATATATAGTTGTGCAAAAATGGCTTTTTGTTTTTCACCCTGCCATAACTCAGAAATGACTGAATAGTTTTGGCCCAAACTTTCCATCAATATTCACCTGTGAGGAAAAACCAAGCATAGCAAATTTCTGCCCATAAAATGAATGTTTTGGAAAATTTTGATCTGAAAAGAAAACGTGTGTGTGGGGGGGGATATAATGCAAACTACTTTGCAACCTTAACTATTACAAGCGTGATCAGTGGCCGCTTCGTCCTGAATGGGGCCATTACAAATCAAATAATTTCCTGGCTGGGCAATCTGTCCTGGAGCAACATTGTAACTTTGGTGTAGGGTGAGTGTTTTCGCAAGGCAATGACAAACATGGGTGAAATATTCTCTGCAGGAGGCTAAGAGTGACTCAGGATTCCTACAGCAAAGCACCTCCTGCTGCTCGGAGCAAGTTATCTGAAAAATGAGAACACACAGCATAAGAGGCTAGCACATCCTCCTCTCTGACGGCAAGAGCTCAGCTCTGCAGGGGACACGGGATTATCCACCATGTAAATCGTGCAGATAAAAAAACGCCCAGAAAAAAACATGCACAGTCCTTGTTGTCCTTCAACTCACTGATTGCCGGAAATTCCTCAGGTAGCTGCTGAGACGTGAG